ATAATTATACACGAAATACAGACGAGACTAAATTTACATTATAAATAATATACATATATATATTATTATTATTTATTATACAGCTATTAATTATACCTACCTATAGTGTTATAGTAATGTGAATAATAATTAATGACCCATAGTTAAATACAAATGTAGAACAAAGTGTTCCAAGGTTTCCGGTCCCAGAAATGCCCTAGCTGTAATCACCCACCTTTTTTTTTTTTTATTATATTGTGTAGAGGGACATTTTTACCGTACCTGAATAGGGGTTTCGGCTCCGCCGTTCTCACAACAATTACAAAATATATATTATTATAACAATTGAAAAGGAGTCGTTCGAATAGCTCGGGTTTCATATTATTATATTATATTATAATATGTCAAATATTTGATGACATAATGAGGCTCGTCGTATCTTGAAAATGTGTTTATTCTTGTTTGCTGTTGCTGATAATTTATGTTCCCTTAAACAATGTTTGGTGGACGAATCAATGTCGTTTTGTATATATTTTTGGGGCCTATATAGAGTTTTCAGCTGCAGTATATGTATTATAGTGCATGCAGAGTTTATTTACAAACCCTTTTTATTTTGACTGTTTGCAAGAAACAGCAAACATTACGATGCTCAATTTTTTTAAGGTTGTCTATTTATTTCTCAGAAGAAAAATAGTTTATCTGATGGCCAATCGACGGACGTGATTTCTAAAGACCATCGACGCGTCGGCAGTAAAGGATAATAGGCAAGGGAACTTTTTAGTTTTATTTATTTTAAAAGGGCGTTTTACAGCATCCTACTAAGATTGATAGGAGGAAAGGACGTGGAAAAACATCACATCACATAATGTCACTTTTATCAGTAAAGAATTTACAGGCTGTGATAAATGTGTTGGACAACTTTAGAAATATATAGAGAAAAACTCTTTAAATATTGTTAATGCGACTGATCATTGAACTTGCAATGATTGTACGCGTACGTAAGAGTAAAACCATCCCTTATAAAATGGGTCGCGAGGGGGGGGGGTAAAGGGAGGCTTATAATATAACATTTTTTTCCCGTGAAATTTGTAAGCATTATACTTCAAAGTACATCGTCAAATTATCTAGTTGACATACTTTACGAGTGTTCTATAAAAGTATATAAGTATACAAATACTGTAAATATAGTACATTAGTATATTACCATTCTGGTATACAATTTAATTTTTATATTAAGTGGTATATTCAACCGTGTAATTCTAAAAATTAGTACCTAGTTTATATAAATCAATTTTATTACCTAGTTCACATTTTGAAGTTGGAGCAATAGAATGCTATGTGTCATGTAAAAAAGTGTTTTATAAGTATTAAGTCAAAACGTGTTGTTGTATGATATATACTTATTACTTATATTATAGGTAGGTACGTTATAATTAGATATTAATAATATTTTATTTAGCTACAAACCGGACAAATCTTTTGAAATAGGAAGGTACATTTATTAGTAACATACATTACATTATTATTATAAAAATTGCATTGCAGCTGCGATTGTAATCTATAACTTATATTTATTTAATAAACACAAAATTACACGGATGTTAACCCTATGATATAAATTATATGATTCTCGTGAGTACTTTTTTTCACGTCTATATTATTAATATCGAGTATTGGCTATTGTTCACGTGGCTGACTAAGACTTTAAATTGAATTTGATTTATGACGGAAAGCAGCCCTAGAGCGTATAATAAAACAGTGTGTATAATATATATTTTCTCATCGCTAGATTTTAAAATGATAATATTTCCCTCTGTCTGAAGGGGTAATTTTGTGGTATCTCTAACCTATTGGGCCGTGTGCTTTTCGATTTATTTTTGTGTGTTTGAGTTTTGGCCGCGGGACCGTTATGGTGTGATCATATTTTTCATCTCATCTTTTTACCGTTTTGAACATTGGGTCAAAACAGTCATCGATCATGAAATATATAAATGTTGCATATATTATAACGTGCACAGTGCGTATACAACATGAATAAAAGAAACAGTTTGTCATTTTCAGCGTACACTCCAGAGTAAAAAAAACATTAAACGTTTATGCAAACTAAATTTATGGAATGATATCTTTCACTTTTACACTCGCCATTTGTTTAATAAATTATATGGTATTTAAAAATTTGCATACTCCTCAGAAAATTGTAAATAATAATAATAATATACGTCTGTACAAAGTTTTGCACGGTTGATATGATTTCGGGACGTTCGCAACAGCTGTGGTGTCACGCGCACAGTGCGTGGTCTCGATGATCTCACACACGATTTTATAATACAATTTATACGTTCGGTGTCTTATAATATATAATATATTTTTAGTACCAATTTGACGTATAATATTATTATACATCATTCATTTTCGTCGAGAATCAATTTGGAAAATCAAAGCATATTATTTTAGATCTTTTTATTCTCTTATTGCAGTTATTATAATATATAGAATCCGTCCCGAGCTCGAAGCGTAATATGGGTGTATATATTGTATATTATATATTGTATACCTATAGATAATGTATAATAAACGGCCCGTTCAATATATTATATTGCACAGTGTGCACTTTTCACTTCGATTTCTCGTAAACGCTGATAAAGCGACCGGCCCACTTTTCCGAATATACGGAAAAGCTGTATGGCTGCGGATGGTGCCACCGCCGCCAAACTCTCACTATCGCGGCATCGGCGTTTTTCCGGAAAAGTTATTAATGGGTCGTAAAAACTGCGTCCATAGGATTATATTATTATTATTATCTCGTCGTCTTGACGGAGGTCGGTGTACCTATATACGATTTGAAAAATGGCAATAATACTCGATGCGCGCTTGCAATGGCCAACGATGTGTACGCGTGTATATATATATGTATAAGTAGGTGCAAGTGTGGTGTTAACTTCGGCGGAGAAAATGGACTTGACTCTTAATTGCTTCGCGGTGGGTATGTATATACGTATAGCGATACATCCTCCAATCTCGTCGAGGATTACGACGGCGGACGACTCGCCTATAAAAATATATATATATAGCCAATATATGTCGCTGGCGATAAGGTATTATATGACAAGTGCCAAAGAATCTCTCGCGCGCGCGGGCGTTGCGTCTATATAATAATAACGGCGGCGGTGTAAGTGTTTGAATTGTCCGTTTTTATTTTCCGTCGATGATACCGGGCTTTTAAATTGACTTTGTAACTAAAGTGTCTCGTTTATTATATTGTCTCCGCGAATATGTACCCTAACCGGTCAGCCACTTATCGTGTAGAGACGTAGAATATATAGTAATCGAATATATTTTATTTACTTTTTCAAACTTTCGACGTATGTGTAGCGTGCACGACACGTTATGACGGATGATTTTCACGCTTTAAAATATATTGAACTCGGACATTTTTAATTTGTTCGATATGAAATAACGTGACGAATAACGAATGAGTTATAGTTACTTGTAGCACGCGTCTACAACAACTAGCTGTGGTCAGTGGTTCGGACACAGAGTTGTGATATAATAAAAAATATATAAATATACAAACCTACGAGTGAAACCTATAATGATTTAAAGTTGATCCATTTTTATTTTGTCGATAATTGATCGTACCCAATCATAACTGTTATGACTAAAACTACAGTGACATAATGATACGTAATAAATACATTTTAAAATTAGTTATTAGTTCTTATTTATTACGTTTTAATCATATACATTAATTGTATTAGGCTACCTTCTGTTAAATAATGACTCGTTAAAACTAAGTGATCGTTGTTATATTTTATATTTAATTAAGTATGTGATTAATGTAATACAATGGACTATATAATAATATCTACATTAATATATTCCATTACGAAAAACAATTTAACTTATTAACCTACTTATACAGTTACACCAGCAAACAGATAAATCTTCTAATATTTTATTTTTTTAGAAGAGTATAATTTGATAATTTACACTATGTAATGATTACTTTATAGTTTTCAATTAAATCTATTTACTCAGAATTGGTTTTAGTGAATTATGAATCCACACTTGACTCGGCTGTATACAGGGTGTCCCGTGAGGATTTACTCATTAGCCGTAGAGGGGGACTCACCGCCCGGACAAAAACCAGTTTATTGACGTATTACTAATAAACTAAAAAAATTATTAAAAATCATAAGATTAATGAAAATAAAATGTTAAAAGCTCAAAATGTTCACAAAAATATACTCTATAGAATGGCTATCTTCAATTTTTTCAAAAATAAAAAATAAAAAAATAATTTTTTTAACTTTTTTACTAAAAAATTTAATTTAATTAAAAAATAAAATATTTGTAGTGCTTACCTCTGCGAGTCTTAATAAAAAAACATAATTACGATATCTCCATTATTTCAGGAGATATCGCAATGAGTAAATCCTCACGGGACACCCTGTATACCTAATAGTTTTTAACAGTTTTAATGTGTCTATATAAGTCTTATGTTATTGTGTCACAATACATTAGAACATATTTTCTTTTTAAACTTTAAATTATTTAAATGATACATTATTATTTACGAAAAAAAACCGACAGAAAAATTAGGATTAAAACATATTATACCTAATAGTCTACTTACTCATTTTATAAAAAATATTAATAGTACCGACCTAGTAAAATAAATATATTATAAATACAGTATGATTTATGGAATAAATAATAATAATATGTATACCTTTTAATAATATAATTTTATCCATGTTCTATTGAACGATGGAATATAATGTTTGATACTCCGATATGAAATTCATCAAATAGGAAAATAGACTGATTCCCTATAACATCAGGGGTTAACTCGGTGCTTTAGAGTTTATTTTCAGTAAACGGAGCTTGATTCGTTAATTTTACGTAGCATGCACGTACAATAAAACAATATTATTATTGTATTTTGTCGAAAAAAAAATAACGAAAGAAAAACCAACAACATTAATTAGAATATTTTTTTTGTTTTGTTTTTTTTACAGACGTTTCGTCATGGTTTTCCGTACCAGCCGACTGCTCTTGCATTTGACCCCATACAACGGTTGTTGGCCATTGGCACCAAAAACGGATCTTTACGAATGTATCCTTTACACGAACAATTTACTGCTATAAATATTTATAACTTATATATACCTAGTGATATTCACGATCACGATATATTGTATAGGGCGATGTCAAGCTAATAAGGTAAGTGCGTACCTATAAAAATGTGTTTTTATTCATTTATACACGCGTTTAATATAAACGTCATTTTTGGCGAAACGAAATTTAATACCATTGAAAAATGAACGGCGTCGGTTGTTTTAATATTATATGTTATAGATAGGCCTACTTCTAGGTTTTAGAGGCCATTAATCATTGGATCTCTGCGCAGGGTAGAGGCCGCATTAGGAAAATAATTTATAACTGTGTGCCCAGTTTCTCTCCATTAGATTCTGTTTACGGCCATCATACAGTAGAATGGCTGGGTCATGATGTACAGCAATAGTAATTACTGACTTCGGGTAGATGATAAATATTAAATAGGGAAGGAATCGCCAGTCTTAACGAAACAGCTATATATTTATTATGTACAAGAGATGAGTAGTTACCAGAGTAAAAATAACGGGCCCGCGTTTCCATAAACTATACACGAAAGCAATATTCGGTCGAAAGTTTAGGTCATGTATCAAAAGTTATTTCAACGGCTTGAGGTTTAATTTTTGAAAAATAAGTTGTGTTCAAATATTCGTTTGCATAAGCTTAATGCGATTTCACACCCGAAAACGCTTTTTCCCCGCCAGCCATGTTATGACGAATATTTTTATATTTCGTATGCAGTAACGAAGAGTTACTTTATGCGGAACAATATTGTTTGGTAGTTATATTCTCATTAGTGCTTAGCTTTTGGATTAGCATATTACTTACGCTGATGGTATTTTATGAAAATATATTGTCTATACTATATTATAATCGACGCTGATTGATGATGGGAATGGACAAACTTTAAACTAGAATCGCAAATCTCAATGATTTGTTTATATATATTACCTATATACGTTTGCAATAGTCAAATTAATAATTCATAATATCCTCAACTAATTTGTTTACTAATAGTTTTAATAAATTTACATTTAAAAAGGCGGGAAAGTTGGTATCTCTGATGTACATTGGGTGTCATGTGGGTCACTGTAACGGATGTGTTCAATTTGAATTCAATGATAAATCGTTACATACGAAAAACGATTCTGAGCGAAGATTCTGGTCTGTCTATGATATTACTAAATATATTATATAATAATATATATTTTATATTACTATTAAAGTAATTTATTTTACTAATAGTAAAACAGTAGATTGAATTAATTTTTTAAATGTTTAAAATTTTAAAATGTCATTGTTTGTATAAAACATAATAAAATACTTTAAAAGTTTTGTGTAGGTACTCAAGAAAAATATTTTTGAATTACGATGATATCACATATGGAAAATGATCATATAAACATTTGGTGAAAACAAAACCAACTTTGTCAAAAACTGTGTTAACGTAAAAATTACCGTCTCCGCTCAGAATCGTTTTTCTTATACAATGATAATATATCGTTGATTTCAAATTTAATATCATCCATTATACAGTGACCCACTTGTAACCTACTGTACAGCAGAGCGACACCCACTTGCCCACTTTATAAATATCAATTAAGTTTTATCTTTTGGGCCAAAAAGCGTAAAAATTTAATACAAGGCTCCTGATATATTGTTACAATATCAGTTGAAAAATATTAAAAATACATAGTCATAATTTTTTTTATAAGCATTTAAATATCGAATTTTGACAAAATTTATCAAATTTAAAATTGAATAATTATTTTGTAGTTAAAAATGTATAAAATGTTCAACTTTTATATCTAAGGATTGAAAATTTAAAACAAGATTCCACGTAAGTAGTTAATTCTGCTACCAAAAAATCTAAAAAATACATCAGCACAGTTTATTTTTATAGTCATTTTAAGTTCAACTTTGGACAAAATTACATAAAAAAAAACCTAGAATAACAATTTTAGTTATTTTGTTGTGATTGTGTAATATTATTCGTGGGTACTTGAAACTTCTAAAGTAGGTACACTATTATATATCTATGATAGTATCAGGGTTTGTTGTTTATGTATAACGCATTATAAGTACCTAATGGATATTGTGATATGATTAATTTGGAATTTATTATAGGTACCTATTATAGGTCAATTATTTTTTTAATACCATAGATATGTATATAATATGTCGTATAAATAGACTGACATACCGTCTCCGCTCAGATTCGTTTTTCTTATACAATGATATTATATATCATTGAATTTAAATTTAATACTATCCATTATACAGTGACCCACTTGTAACCTACTGTACAGCAGAGCACCTTTTTTAATTTGATTTAATTATATTTTAGATAATTATACTCAAGTGTGAGTATTAATTTTAAAAATAGGTGAGCCGATTGATGCATAATATAGCTAGTATGCACTTTTAATTAATTAATAAAATAAATACCGTACGTCATATTATATGAGTTCTGTCGAAAACACAATCTTCTCATATAGACCTTATATTATTAGCCGAATGTTGTTTTTTTTAATTTATATAATTGTACTCAAACATTGTATACAGTTTATATAGGTTATATTATAAATAATATACGCATACTGTATACGAAATTCAGAGATTTATGAACAAAGGTTTATCCAATCTCTCAATTCGAATAACCATATACCACACACCACTCTTCGGAACCGATCGACCTGGTTGTTTATCATGGGTTGTACAACGTAAAAGTAACAACCAACTGCTATTAATCTGAGTTACTTTACATACCCATCTTTCACATTTCAGAGGGAAATACACTACGAGGAAAAAACTTTGTGTTTGGCAATTTGTTTCGTAAAAAAATCCTATCGGACTAGACGGCGCCGATTGTGCACAATACGTATACTTCTGTTTTTCCATGTCGCTTTAATTTTAAACAAAAAAACATTTCACGTTTTCCCTTTGTTTAATAGATGTTGTATATTTTTCTTGAAAGGAATACTGTTCACATTAAACAATTCAAGCGGGATAACCGGTATAAAATGATTATGTTTGCAATCCGTTCAAAATATTATATAAATTAAACTAAATATGTTGATTAAAATTGAATAACATTGTAGAAATTATTGTGCAAAATATAATCTGTATTAATGTATACGTTCGTATATTGTAATAAATTATGAAATATTTAAAACCTTTTGCACCATATTATTTATTGTATATATTCAAGGATGGAATCTTAAAGAATTTACTTATTATCAAAACAAAAATAAATTGTTTTATTCAAAATCATACAGAAAGTTTGAATTTAAGACTTAAGTTGTTTTTATGTAGTTTGTTCAAGGAGGAACAAACTTACTTGTTTGACAGTTAGTAAACAAAATAAAGTTATTAAATTAAAACGTCTAGTGTGATGTTAAAAATATAAGTTTAAGGAATATAAGCAGCTAAATGTAATCCAAAAAATAAAAAAAAAAACAGTACAAAATCGTTATAAATTTTTTTTTTATGGTGATAAGGTCTTTCAAGTTTGTTATCAGGACTGATTAAAGCACAATATTTTGGTGAACACGTTTTGAGTATGTTATAATAACTTATAAGCTACATATCTATCATCATTCTATCCATGAAAAACCATATTTAGGTAATTTGGTATGCGATATTTTCTTGTCCAGTGGTGGATATATTATATAATATTTGAGGACGTCATAATACCTGCATGGTGGCCCAAAAGTGTACACTACTGACAATGTCTAACGACCGTCGATTGTGCCTGTCCATCTCGTTTAACACTTGAATATTATGTACTCAGTAGTGCCTGCTTAACCTTTAAATGTATTAGTATTATCATTTTTTAGTTATTCAAAATAGGAAATTCCAAGCCCATGGCTATCTATAATATCTATTGATAATACAGAATAATAAGCTTGTCACTATTTCAACAAGATGAGTATTTATAAAAATGAACTACAGAAGTGTGCAGGCGTTTTACCAAAATATTTAACTAATAATAATTATATACAACAGACAAATATTTTTAAAGTTTAAGTAGTTCAATACTTATATTTCAATATTTATAATATTTATATTTGCTAGGTAATTCGTTTAAAATTACATTGGAGAAATTACAAAAAAAGTATTGTATTTGAAATCACTATATTGTACCTGCACGACGCTCTTCGTTAAAATTTAATCAAATGTTCATCCAACGGTTGAACACTTTATCATTTGACTTTTGACAACTTCTATTTGAATTTAGGTTTAATGGTCAGTTTTTAGTTCAAACAGAATAATTGAATGATGAAATAAATGGATGGAATTGGTTTGTTGTCAAATCGACAGTTAAATTCATTAATAATACTCATCTATTGTTCGGATAAAATGTATATATTTTTTTTATTACTAAAAAAAGATCAATTTTGCACATTCGCATACATTGCATAAGTGGAAATAAACTATTGATTTCAGTCTGACCATCATTTTACCCTTACCACCATATCCCTTTATCCCCATCAAATTGAACATTTCCATAGTACTCGGGGGAATATTCAACCAAAGGATTAGTTGCATGTTGGACCTATTATGTAAAAAAAAAAAAAAAAAAAGGTGGGCAAGTGGGTGTCGCTCTGCTGTACAGTAGGTTACAAGTGGGTCACTGTATAATGGATGGTATTAAATTTGAATTCAATGATATAATATCATTGTATAAGAAAAACGATTCTGAGCGGTGATGGTATGTCAGTCTATGTATAAGGCATATTATATACATATCTATGGTATTAAACAAAAAATTGACCTATAATAGGTACCTATAATAAATTCCAAATTAATCATATCACAATATCCATTAGATACTTATAACGCGTTATACATCAACAAAAACCGTGATACTATCATAGATATATAATAGTACACTTTAGAAGTTTCAAGTACCCACGAATAGTATTATTCAATCACAACAAAATAACTAAAATCGTAATTCTTGGTTTAAATATGAAATTTTGTCTAAATTTGAAATTA